TCATATTCTAAAATCTCTTAAGTTTCTTAATATACACATTGGTGTATCTTGTTTCTATTATGCTTCTATTTATAACTTAATTCTTACATGGAAAACTCTGTGTGACTCACTTTTGGATTTGCTAGTGGGACAAATTATGTTCTCTCTCCTTCTCATACTAAAATAAACACACTGTCCTGTACTTTCTATGTAGTTCTGACATGGTGATTCTTGGGAATACTCTTAAAATACACACAGTTGAACACGTTTATTGATGAATAGTTTTGTCAGATCAGGCTGTAAAAGCCCATGAATTCATAGAAAATGTTAGATGGACTTAGGCAGATACCGACTAAAAATCACAAAGTTGGATTTCCACTGCATAATCAAACCTGCTCCATTACACACAGCATCCAGTATTAGCTAACTGTTTACTTCAAGCACAGTTTCAAGATACTGAGCACCTTGGAAAATGGGGACAGGAATTTAATAAGGGAATTTAGATTTTATCTTTTTTGAATAAATTAAATCTTGGTCGACAAAGATAAAATTTAATACGGTGTTGTAAACAGTGAAGCTGGTAAGAAAAGCAGTAAACTAAGATACCCCCCTACATTTCTCCAGCTTTAGAGTGATTTATAAATATCACCTGAGTAACCAAATGATATGCTTGACAATGGACTAAGGTAGATTCCACTTCCAAACATTGCACCATGGAGCTGAAAAAGAGTGAGTGATTGTTTAACATTAATTTGGTTATCTAGAGAAAATAATAACAATAGAAACAGGTTGTAATATAGATATGCATCTGCCCCACTGCACTAATTTATTGCCTGGTATTAAATGGTGTTCAAAGAAGACTTCAAAAAAAAACGTGTGGTGACTATACAACTGAGATACCATATATTCTGGAAACCTTTTCCAAATGCCCAAACATAATTTTACATCAGATTTCTATATAAAATTGCATTTTCTGTTTTTAAATCTAACATTACCATGGAGGATGCCTACAGAGGGTGCTTCTGTACATGGCCAGATACACCTGAGCCTTAAGAAGACTGAGCAAGCTCAGCATGTGTCTCACATCAAAACCTTGGCAGGAAGCAAGCCTAAGCCAGCCTCTGTGAATCAACAGCAGCAACAGCTGCTTTTGTTTTCTTTAAGGTAAGAAATGAAGAGATGGTGATGACACTGGTCATATGTTATAGAAAAATTTAGCCTGTCTAAAATTCAGCCTAGTTCATCCTGAGTACAGGAGCAATGGGTTCAGTCAAGCTTTTGCCTGAGCCAATTCAGGCTTGCAAATCCAATCATTGCAGGATTGTGCTTTAGCCACAAAGCTACCAGCTGGCTAAAAAGAATAAAGGAAAGCAAAGACTGTTTTCCACTGTTCCATGTCATGAAGCTTGGGCTAAATAACAAAAGTGAGCACTTTTTATCAGCCCTGCAATCGTTTTCTTGTGTGGAAAGGTGGAAGTATGGATTTCACTCTCCACCAGGGAGTGACTGCTTTATGTGGGAAGGCCTTTAAAGAAAACACCCCAAGTAGCTGTTGGGAGCACAAATGAGAACCCAGAGTATCTCTTACCTATGTAGATGTTATGACCACTGGGCTTCACAGTCATGCTCACCCTTATTTCTTTCCTCCGACCCAATGATATTTACATTGTCTCTGCAATATGCCAGAGCCCTCATAGGAATGTGCAAACATGCTTTCACTCCTCCAGATCCTACAATGTTGTACAGGATCCTTTGTGAGTAGATATTTTTCCTGACTGGTTGGTACTGAGTTAAATAGGATGTGGGGTCAGGATATGCCTTAGGTGTGTGAGAGATCTAAAATGATGACTTGTATAAAACAGGGCTTTACTGCTGCCTCCTATTGCCAGTATCTCAACCCTCAACAAAGAAATAAGCATAAGCAAAGGGGTTTACTTTAGTGAATTTTGGCATGTAAATCCTGCTTTCTTGGGGAATTATGTTCCAAAGATAATAATAAAAACATCCAAACCACTAAGAGGAATTGCAGAGATTTCCACTTCCTTTTTTTCAGGGTTTTCTGTACCCTGATCTTTAGTCAGCACTTTGGGATCCTCCTTCAAGGTATCATGGATTCAGCTCTGGGGGAGAGCTGTCAAAACCATGAAGCTAAAATACTCTGAGTTACAGCTCCCTAGTCCCTCTGGTATTGCCTGCTTTGCTCTGCAATAGTGGTCTCCTGATGATTCAGTCGGAGAAAATGAATTGAAATTTGCAATAGCTTGCTCCTGGCCAGTACACTCATATTTTTATTCCCAAGGAAACCAGAGGAGATGGGAAGATGCTGTAAACTCAGTTCCTGTAAATCTAGTATGCTCTTGAACCTATAACATGGAGATTATGTAGCTCTGAATTTTAATCCCAAACCTGCTTTTAAGCAGTACTGAGCTAAGCCTCCTGGAGGTGCTGCTCTGCAATGTAAAACTGAAACACTGATTCCAGCAATGGGATTTTCTAACCATTTTAGCAGACACATTATTTCACTTTAATTGCATCAGAAAAGTACATTTTCCAGAAAACAAGAGATCATCCCTTTTTTCCACCTATATGACTACCAGAACCACACCCCCTGACAACTTCCCTAAGCTAGTATGTAATCAAGCATGCACAGGTTAGCTAAAGTCTATTTAGCAGACTATTTACCTGCAGCCTCGTATTGGAAGCAACAACTAAGCCATTCCTCAGGATGGAATGCCAATTTTCAATGTGGGAACCACTGAAAAATTGAAAAAGAGAGCGTTAAAATCCACAGAGTAAAATGCAAAATGAAATCAGTAATCTTTTAAAACAATAAATTCACAGCTGTAAACCTCAAATGGCAAGAACAGAAAAAAAGCATGGCATTTTGAAAACCTTTGATTAATACGAATATATGTACTTACTGAAATGCAAACGTACTTCCATAGAGATTTTTAGCAGCTCGGAAATTGGATTCTTTGGCTGGTGGACTGCTGAGAAGTAGGAACTGGTGGGGAGTGTGCATAAACTTTAGTTGCTGTAAACAGTGCACAAGTGAAAAGAAGTCGGTTAACACAAAAGCAATGTATTTCCATAAATGATAGTTCTTAAAATACCACACTGTTTCGCACAATTCATGGCTGCATCTAAATAACTACGTGAGCTAAGTAGAAATTGGTCTCATTACCATAGTTTCTTCCTGAAATCAAACAGTAAAAATGTCTTGCAGTTTATGAAACATACGGAAGTTTCTGAAACAGATTTCAGCCTTATATGGCTGTAGTAAAGTAATTAAATTGAACAATTTCATCATGGTATTCTGATCAGAGCTGGCTTTGAATTAAGGTTCAAATTTGAAAAGCTGAAGATTACTATGCCCTTAATCAGAGGATCAGAGGCACACATATTCAGAAATGAATCTCAGCCCCATCCTTCTAAAATTCAAGAGCTATACTCTTCTTAAGGTGTACTCATATGTGGATCTCCTGGTACATCATGTTTGTGTGCACTGCTTTCTGTATGATTCTGTATCTAAAATTCTATATGGTAACAAAACAAATAGTGAAGTTATTCACACCCAGTCTCAGATGACTACAAGGCAGACACTTGTATTTGAGCTACTCACCTCAAACAGTCTTTTTCTGAGTGTTATTCCTTTGACTTGTTTTAGATATTCACAACACGATTCTATGAGTCATGACCTGAAACTGCCTGTTTCTCTCCCTTGCCTGTTAATGGAGTCCAGGTGACTAGTTTGAATGTAGACACCTACGTTTGGCTAGGAGACTCCCACCTAAAATGCTATTACAAGCCATGAGAAATGAGAAAATAATAAAGAACCCACAGACACTTACCCTATTCACCGGTAGCTTCACAATATGTGATCTATTACTAGAAATAACCCTAAAATAAGAAACAGTTAGATATATTAGACATGGGAATCAAACAGAACTTTTCCTCTTAAAAATGTTTTATGAATGGCCACCACAAAGCACTCAGCTGCAGGCCTTTGAACCTATGAGATGGAAGTAGACCAAATCTTGACCAGAAAATGAGATCAGAGGCTGTACAAACAAGCTGGAGTCTTTCCAGTGTTTTCAGAGAGCCCAGATGAGGTCCAGAAACAGTCCAGAAACACCTGCAGTTGCAGATGTCAACTCTGACATTAATTCTTAGGGTGAACTTATGCCAAATTACACTGGTGAAGTGATTATTCATTAAACTTGGTACTTTAATAATTATCATCCCATGTGAGTCAATTTTATACCATTGTAGAAGAGGATGTGCAAGTGGGTCTTGTTTATCCATCTGCTTCTTTATTTCCAAGTAAGGTGCCTAGAAAAGAGTAATTATGTTCTTTATTTCTAGTTGAAATCATAAGGTTAAATTTTATATGTTACATTGCCCATGTTAATCTATTAAAACAAATACATGGGACTCATTATTAGGCTTAAATCACAGCTTTACTGACATTTAGTGTTGTACAGTTATAAATGTGTTTTGACAACAACAAGAATTAATATAGCAATTATTTTCCCTGGAGTAAAATAGTAAGCATATAATTAGCATCAAAATGAGCATACTATAACAAACATTGGTGATCTCAGGGAGAACAGCAGAAGACATCTATTTACGTTGAGCTCTTGGATTAAGAAATTGGACTGAAACGTCACAAAATTAAGTCTCTCAAAATACCCTGAGATAATCCATTCCATTTTTTAAAACTGTTTCATTGTATAAATTGGTAAAGTAAAATACTGTATCATTTTATAATCCCTTTGAACACCTTTCTTGATTTCAATCACAGTGCCAAGCATCCCTTGTCTTCAGTCCAAGAATTATTTTAACATTAAAAAAAAGCAAAATGGTGGTTATTTTTCTTGTAAAAAAGACATTATATTAGGTAACAGGAATACCTGATTTTTTAAATTTTTACAAGATATTACATTAAGTAAAAGAAGTATGAGAATTTTAATTTTCAGTTTATTTTAATTCTCTCTATATGCATCATTCTTCATTCCAGAATCCCAAAGCACTTGATGAATACATATAGAGTAAGACTTATAAACTGTTGTTGAGGTTACATTTACATAGCAGTTGGAAAAGCAAGGTACATGGGGGAGATTTCAATAACCAGTTATAATTCACTGGGCTGTTTGGGACAGGAAGTGTAACAATAAACATAAGTATGGCTGTCAGAATCTGTCCACTGTGAATATTGAGAACTCATATGATAGTATTCCCAAGAGACCCAACCTTCTAAGTTCCCAACCATACTTAGCTGATCAAGTGTTTTTCTACAATAGAAATAAAGCTATCATTCAGAACACTGTCATAAAATCAATTTCCTTTGCTTTGGAAATAAAAGACCCATTTTGGCTTTGATTTCCAGAAATGCAGCAGTTGGTGATTATATTGTTACAATGTCCTATTCTCCTGTTATTATCTCTAATTTAAACTTCAAAAAATCTGAGTTCTACTTCATCATGTTTATTTGACTGCCATTATTTGACTGATATTCTAGGTTTGTTATTTTTAACACACATTTTAATATTCTTACAGCTCTATGGGAAAGAGATGATACTATTGACTTCCCCACCCATCATCAGCAAGTGATATAAACATCTTCCTAGTTCTAGAAATAGTGATTAAGTTAGGTAAAGATTTTTAACTCACCTGTGTCATCTCTCTAATAGATGTGATACTGTCCAATGCTTTCATGACTCGGTCATAATTCTTCTTCTGATGTAGCATAAAATAAGCAAATAAATTAAAAGAATATTAGTCTTTGTCTATAGAAAAACCTGAATTCTTTGATGTGTATAAAACCAAAGCTAGGAGGAATGTTCAGCAAACCAATCCTTTTAAATATTTATAACCAATAGCTTCCTTCCACCTCACACATAGACTGTCTCATTCATAGTCCAGGAAAATTCCCTCAGAAATAATTATCATGTTGGTTCTTCTTTGATTTACACTGGAATCTCCAATATGCTCAAAAAATTAGCTCACTTTTTAAACAAATATTTGTAAGTAAACACAGGTTCTGACAGTTATTTGGACAATATGCTATTAAGTTAAAACAATCCAGTGACTAAATAGATTTAAAAAAAAATGCTAAATAAACAGATGTGTTTACTCTTCTAACAGCTCTGTAAAACATCAGAGATCCTCCAGATGTCCCTCTTCCTCACCCTGATCCTTGCCTACCTTCTGTTTGGGAACCACTACCAGACGGCTCCAGCTTTTCTGAGTGGATGAGCTTAACAGTCATTACAGTCTTCACCAGCTCCATGTAACAGTCTTCACCAGCTCCACATGTCGTGTTGCCTTCAGGAGATTCACTGTTCCCCTTCTTTGTATCTTGTCAACTTCTACCCATGGGCTTTCACCTCACCCATGCTGGCAAGAAGCTGGGAGGAGGCAGTGTGGGCCCTGACAGCCCCAGGGCTCTCTCCATTCCTCTTCTGGTGTGACCCTCTTTCATATTCCCTCACCTGCTACAAACTCTCGCCTTGCCCAGACACCAGCCTAGCTCTCTCCTCATGAGTCCCCTTACAAGCACCTCCTGTCAAGTCTTTCTTCCCACATGCTACAGAACATGCTTGCCCCTTCCTGAGGAAGAACACTGCTATCTGGCCTTTTCTCAGAAAAAATGAAATGCATCTCAGTGCAGGACATCCAAAGTTCTCATTTATGCTCTTGGGGATGGCTCAGGTGACATGTAATAGTTCATGGCTTCTGGAGGGCTTCCCTGAGGGGCAGTATTTGCAGCCTGAGGAGCAAGTGGTGCAAACAATTCTTTACTTCAAAATAGATGCTTGTACAAAACTCAACTATTATGTCAACACTTGATAAAATTACATTTAAGGACATAAGTGTTTGCAAAGAGAAAATGAGATGACAGCAATAACTACTTTAAGAATAAAAAGATGGACTGGAAATCCCCTGGTTTACATGGTCTACACCTCTCAAAGGCCATCTTACTCTTTGAGTCCAATGTGTACACTGAGAGAAAGACACTAAGAATATAAAACTATGCATCTTGAATTTGTATCCTAAAATAATTTCTTGGCTTCAACATAACATTGAATGCAACTTACAGTTTACACACAAATACAGAGACAATTAAAAAAGCTACAAGGTTCTGAAAGTAGTAGCATCCTTGTGCTATATTCTGGATCTGTATCTCTTATAGTAAAGGAGAATCCTCCAGAAGAAAGCTGTGCTTTGAAATCTCCTGCATGACTCAAACTAAGCTATGACATAATGAAAGATAACGACTCACCCTGGGATTAAAGGCCAGCATCTGAGGATCATTAGGATCAACTACAGAAGGATATGGCTCAAAAATGACAACTTTCCGAGGTGACTCTAATGCAGACCGACACATGGACACTAACAGATCAACCACCTAGGGATAAAGAAAAATATTTATTCAATATATGTACTTTCATACTGTATCTTCCAGTCTGCTTTTTTTCATGTTGTAGTAATACCATATTTCATTGTTACCTATATTACTCAAATCGTGTTATCCACAGGACATAGTTTAGAACTGAAATTTTTCCATTGACTTCTGCAGGCTTTGAGTTCAGCCCTGGTACATTATTCCAGGTGCATAAGTAGGACAAATGTGTTATCATGTCAAATATATTGCTTGCAGTCCTGATTTCTCTCGTGTACATGTGCTAGTTTCTTGTTTAAATTAATTCTCTAGGGAAATGAAGTCATGCTGAATCTGTGTATCTCTGTACAGCAGATGACAGTGAAAAATGTTGCTCAAGAATGAGGAAGGGTTTGTGAATCTGTACCACCACTGATGTTCTCCCGAAGACTGTAATCCCAGAAACACTTGTAAACATTGCTTCTGCTAAAGCCAGAACAGTGCAGTAATTTTAACAGTCATTTGCGTGGCTTACACTGGGAGATCCTCTTCCTTCCATCCAGTTGTATAAAATTACAACGTGGCTTTGAATATCTATGATTTCCAAGGTTTCACCATAAGATCATGCATGTAATGTGTACACAGGCATGTAGTCACATATGTGCACATAGGCAAATATACAACAGATTTCTGTGTAATTGCTCCAAAATTCTCAATTCAAAGGTTAAAAATAGAATACAGCCATCACAAACCAGAAAGAATGCAGTTTTCTGGCAGTTGTGAAACCTAAATCTAGCTCATAATGAAATCCAAAGTTGCTACATAAAAATGTAGGTGCAGATCAGCTCATTTCCCCGTTTCTTCTGTGCCTTCTGAAAACATTCCTCTGTGAAAACAGACTTTTCCATGAAAGAAAGGAAAAGCTGAGATGAGTTGTACTTTGCAGGCATCCCTGGTTCCTCCCACAATTCCACTTGGACCAGATCTCATCTCACAGCTCAAGCGGTTCCAGTAGGTTTTATAAATCTGCCATTGTATCTGATCATTTGGAGGAAAAAACCCCGATGGTCCTTTAGAGAAGCAGAATGAAAATAAGAATCATGACGAAAGGGAAAAGGAACTGCACTGCGGTGAGTCATAATGTTACCATTCTACTCCTCTGCTCCTTTAGCATGAATGGACAATTTTCTCCGCTGGTTTAAAAATATTCTGTTGGTTCCAGCTACTAAATATCTCACATATATTGAAGAATGAGGTTATTTAAACAATAATATCTTCCTCCATGGTGCTGTGATTATTTTCCAGTTTGTAATACCTGTAAATGTGATGAACGTTTCAAAATAGGGCATCTGCATTGGCATTTGCAAAGTTGACCAGGAATGTGCATACACAGCCAGGTCAGGCAACAGGCCTGCAACTGTGTAAACGTATTACTATGAAATTGAGTCAGAGTTCACACACCCTGCTTCTTAGAAGCACTTCTTAGCCTCCATTTGCAAAAGACTACCAGAGAAGAGTTGTTTGAGTCCCCAGATCTCTTAATAGAGTGACTCAAAGTTGTCTTGCTTTATGATTTGCATGATGGGACTTTGTCTTAAAATTGGCACAGTTCTCCATAGAACACCATCCCAAAGCCTTCCTTTAAACCAGCTGTTGACTCCTATATTGTTTCTCACCATGATACCTGCATATTATTCTGACGTGTATAGATTAGGTTTAGTTAAACCCCTAATTGTTTTGAGCTGATGGAACACAGAGCAACTTAAAATTGGAGGCAAGTCTAATACAAACATTATAATACAAACTTGCATATGCAGTCCTTGGTAATAGGAAGTGCTGTGGATCTAGTAAATGTCCTTAGAGCTGGGCCTGTACTCCTACTCCTTAACAGTAGGTACTGATATTCGTAAGTAAGGACTAAAATATTTTCAAGGGGAAAGATGACACTTGCTGATGACAATTCCCTCTGATGACATCAGTCTCAGACAGTGCCTCTCTTCAGAGACTCTCTACAGAGAGTCTGAACTATCAACAAATCAGGTATTTAATTTACAGGCATTTTGACTATGTGACTAAAATAACGCAAGGTGAGTTCAGTCTTGAAAGTTATAGAAAGTACAATCACTTATTAAGGAGAAGCCATCAGAATATTGAGAGTGACAAAGTAGGGGTGTAAACCTTAGGAAACTAGTTGAAAGCACAGCAGAAAAAAACAGGATGTGGTTTCTAATAATGGGAACCTACACTTAGGCTCCTTCACTACACAAAATGATTTGGAAGAAGATTAGTCCAAAAAAATGTAGAGATTCACAATGTGAACACCTACTTCTTAGTAGTCAGCCTAGGGTCTCCTTATAATCAATGGAAGAAATAACCACTGTGCTGATAGTCTATGCTGTGATTCATGCTATCCTAAACCAAATGTCAAAAATAGCTCAGATGAATCAAATCCTAGAAGTGCTGAATTCTTTCTGCAAACAGGGATGGGAGTGCAACCAGATCAGATGTAGTGAGCTAGGTGCAACACTATGGCTGGAGTAGAACTTAGCAAAATTTAGTCACCTAGGTCTAATGGGACAATTGACAACACCTCTTATCTAACTCCTTTAAGCATTGTTAGGGTTGTAATCACTTCAGTACTCTACAGCAAAGCTCTGTAGATGTAGAGGTGCTCTAGAGATCTAGAGCAAGCTCTGCACATGCCTGCAACAGTGATACCTATATATAACACAAAGCGAGAGCTAACCAGGACCACCTCTCCAGTCAGCTGTATTAAAAAAGATAATTGAGAGCTACTTCTTTGTACCTAATGTACAATGTGCATGTATGTTTGTACCTACTCAGTTTTTCTCTAATTTTAGGTAAGCAAGCTTCCAGCTCTTGAGGGAGTTAGTCAATAGGGCACTTTGGGAAACTGCCCTCAGGGACAAGGGAGCAGAACAGAGCTGGCAGATCTTTAAGGACCCTTTCCATAGAGCACAAGAGCTCTCGATCCCGAGGTGTAAGAAATCAGGAAAGGAAAGCAAGAGACCAGTATGGCCAAGTGGAGACCTGCTGGTCAAACTCAAGGGCAGGAAGGAAATGCCCAGGCAATGGAAGCAAGGACAGGTATCTTGGGAAGAGTACGGGAATGCTGCCCGGCTGTATAGGGATGGGGTCAGGAAGGCCAAGGTACAGATGGAGCTGAACTTGGCAAGGGATGCAAAGAATAATAAGAAGGTCTTCAGGTATATCAGCCAGAAAAAGAAGGTCAAGGAAAGCGTACACCCCCAATGAGCAAGACTGGCAAACTAGTAACAATGGATGAGGAGAAGTCTGAGGTACTCAATGACTTCTTTACTTCAAGTTTCACTGGCAGTGTCTCTTCCCACACCTCTCAAGTGGATGGACTGCAAGACGTGGTCTGGAGGAGAAAATTCCCTCCCACTGTAAGGGAAGACCAGGTTTGAGACCACCTGAGGAACCTGAACATACACAAGTCTATGGAACTGATGAGATGCATCCCCGAGTCCTGAGAGAATTGGCTGATGTAGTTGCCAAGCCACTCTCCATGATATTTGAAGTCATTGCAGTCAGGTGAAGTCCCTGGTGGCTGTAGAAAGGGAAACATTGCACCCATTTTTTAAACATGGTAGCAGGGAGGACCCTGGGAACTACTGCTCTGTCAGCTTCCCCCCTGTACCTGGGAAGCTCATGGAGGACATCCTCCTAGAAGTTAGGAGAATCCAACCTAGTGGCCTTCTCTGATGGAGTGACCGCATCAGTGGACAAGGGAAAAGCTACAGATGTCAGCTATCTGGACTTCTGTAAGGCCTTTGACATGGTCCCCAGCAACATCCTTCTCTCTACATTGGACAGGTATGGATTTGGTGTGTGGACTGTTGGGTGGATGAGGAACTGGTTGGATGGTCATATCCAGACAGTAGTGGTCAATGGCTCAACATCCAGATGGAGATGGTGGTGAGTGGTGTCCCTCAGGGGTCCGTGGTGGGACCAGTACTTTTTAATATCTTCATCAATGACACAGACAGTGGGATAGAGTGCACCCTCAGTAAGTTTGCAGATGACACCAATCTGAGTGGTGTGATTGACATGCCTGAGAAACAGGATGCCATCCAGAGGGAAATGGACAAGCTTGAGGAATGGGCCTGTGTCAGGTGGTGAGTGGTGTCCCTCAGGGGTCCGTGGTGGGACCAGTACTTTTTAATATCTTCATCAATGACACAGACAGTGGGATAGAGTGCACCCTCAGTAAGTTTGCAGATGACACCAATCTGAGTGGTGTGATTGACATGCCTGAGAAACAGGATGCCATCCAGAGGGAAATGGACAAGCTTGAGGAATGGGCCTGTGTCAACTTCATGAGGTTCAACAAGGCCAAGGGCAGGGTCCTGCACCTGGTTAGGGCAACCCCTGGTATTAATACAGACTGGTGGATGAAGGGATTGAGAGCAGCCCTACCGAGAAGAACTTGGGAGTACTGGTGGATGAAAAACTGCACATGAGCCAGCAACGTGTGCTTGCAGCCCAGGCGGCCAACCATATGCTGGGCTGGATCCAAAGAAGCGTGTCCAGCAGGTCGAGGGAGGTGATTCTGCTCCTCTGCTCTGCTCCGGTGACACCCAACCTGAAGTACTCTGTCCAGCTCTGGAGCCCTCAGCACAGGAAAGACACAGACCTGTTGGAGCAGGTCCAGAGGAGGGCCACAACAATGACAGAGGCATGGAACACCTCTCCTACAAGCACTGGCTGAGAGAGTTGGGGCAGTTGATCCTGAAGAAGAGAAGGCTCCAGGGACACCTTATGGCAGCCTTCCAGTACTTAAAAGGGACTTAGAAGAAAGATGGGGCAGACATTTCAGCAAGGCGTGTTGCAATAGGACAAGTGGGAATGGTTTCAAATTAAAAGAGGGAGCTTTAAGCTAGATGTAAGAAGAAATTTTGTACAATGAGGTGGTGAAACACTGACAGAGGTGGCCTCAAGAGGTGGTAGATGCCCCATTCCTGTAAACATTCAAGGTGACGTTGGACAGGGCTCTGAGCAACCTGATCTAGTTGAAGATGTCCCTGCTCATTGCAGGAGATTTGGACTAGATGACTTTTAAAGGACTAGATGAGCTTTAAAGGTCTCTCTTCCAAAACCAGCACAATGTCCCTTCCAACCCCCAACAATAAACTCCAGCTCCCCAGAAACACATAGCTGAGCTCTTCAGAGGACTTTAGGCTGAGGAAGAAGTGGGGCTTCATCACGACACCTCTCTCCATTTCTCACAAGCTTGCACAGGTATCCCAATGTTTGGTATGCTATATGTTGCAATTACAGCCATCTAATGGTCTTCAAACATCTGATGAAGAGCTGATGTTAAGATCCTGCAGCCATATTCTCAAGTGAAGAAGCTGGTGTACACTGCTGCAAGCTTCTTCCTTTCAGGGTATGCCCACAGGTGGTATTCAGGCACTTAGCCAAAAAGTTTCTTTTCAGTGGCTAGACTCACTGCTGCTAGTTAGTTAACTGAACTGAATGTTTGGCTCTTCCAAAAAACCCATGTTGCTTACTACGTAAATGCAGAGTGAGTGACCTATGTCTAGGAAATCAGTGCGCAATGCACTTTTCCGTAAGATATGTAAAGTTTTAACTTAAGATCTTAAAAGGATCTTAAAGATGAGACCTTTTAACTTTTGAATTTTCTGTAATCTAAGTTTAAATGGTGATTTGTTAACGTAGTTTAAAATACTTCATTTTAAGGCACATACAAAATTATGAAAGAAAACCATGATATGGTTATAACTACGTTAATAACTGAACTTAGAGTCAGAAAGCAAGCTTTTATTAAATTCCTGATCCTTAAGAATAGAGAAAAAAAACTATGTACCCACATCAGTAAGGACTTTCCCACTGTTATTTAATGATCAAAACAACAGATGCTCAGTGGATAGCTGCATCCCAACACCATGAACAGGAAGTAGCTTATTAATTGCATGAGAGTAGTAATGGCTCATTAGGTGAAAATAAATGGGAATTATCTCCAAATGACAATGGCTGCCTTTAGTAACAACCCAGGTGACCTAATTGAATACAACAGAACAAGAAAACAGGGTTACTCTAATTACATGGAAGCAAAACAATGGAAGCACCTCATTAGTACCGTTTGAAAATGCCACACATAAAACAGTGTATTTACAGCTATAAGAGTGGGCAAATAAATAATACTTACCAAACCGTACTCACATGGGGAATACAAGTCAAGACTAAGTATACTATAGAAAATCAGACAAGCAAGATAAGCATTAGATAATTTTACCTGAGCCCCAGTTGCAATTTCATCAGCAGCTTCATTCATCACTCCTAATGTTTGGAAAGCAAATACGCAGAGCTCTCGTTCACAAACTGTGGGCTACATAGAGAAAAAAAGTTAATTGTATTTTTGTTCTAGTTTTGGCTTCTTGGTTTTATCATGTAATAAATACCTACAACAAAACCTAAACACTTTTACGTTAATTTTTTTTTCAGATATTAACTGTGACAATAATTTCAAATTATGAATACATGTCAATTATTGAGGAAGCTGCATTAGAGAATCATTTTAATAATCTGAAGAACAAGTGTGAAGAACTCTAAAACTCCTAAGTACTCACAGTGGCTAAACTTAAAAGAAATCCAAACAGATTACAAACCCAAAATTACAGGCATAGTACCCAAATGTCCTTACCACTATCCTGTCAAACTCTGAAAAATTCCTACATAATTAAAGTTAATGGAGAACAAATCCAGAAACAAATGGGGGCACATCTCCTTCACAAATGCAGGTTTATTCTTCACAGCTTATTATTGTGCGTTGAGAACATATATAAAAAACTCATCTAGAAGACAAATTTCTTGAAGAAGCTACATTCAATTTAATTTTTAACTAATTTAACAGTTTATTTGTAAACTTTAAGAAAAGGTACTACATTTTTATAGAATAAACACTGTATTTGGGAAGGTCACATTATTTTAATAAATTAAGTAACTTCCACTCTTTTTTCAGATATCAAAAAATAATTAAAAAAACTTGCTGTTGAATTAGTTTTTTGCCTATACTTTTGAAAAATTTAATTCACAATGCCATGACAATGATCAAATAAAGTAACTTATTTAAACTTCATGTTGAGTGAGACTTGAGTATTCTGCCTTCATAAAGCAAACAAAGCAGAAACAAAAAAGAACACAGCTTTAAGTAAAGAGAATAAGCATGACTTCATAGGCTTCCTAACTGGTTACAACCCTTACAGCAACACACTTTATTTATTGAAAGATAATCAGCAGATCAACTTTTTAAAGGCTGAAGTAATGAATCACACAGTGAATTTTTATAAGCATTCAAAATGAACAGCTGAAAGAAATACAAGAAAGAAACACAAATTAAAACTTTCCTTAAAATTGACCTCAATAAACACAACCTTTAATTACAATGTTGAAAACAATAAAAAATATTTTTTGGATTCTACTTCTTTGAATCCATATTATTAAATCCTAGTTCAGTAAAACTTAAAATTATATTTGGTAGGCACTACTGAACTTTTGTAACTAAAAATTCTGATAATTTTTACCATGATAATCACTAAAGAATTTGTAATGGTATACTTTGAAGTTCAAGCCAGTGTCACTAGGAAGCACTTGCAGAAATGAAAAAATGAATTGAGCACACAAAGAAAACTTAATATTTAGCTGAATTCTGTTTCAGGCAACAGCTTTGTCAGTGATAAGCATACTGCTGTATTTGTAGTCACTTGTTTCATAGCCCTTAAAATATGCATTTGCTGGGTTTCAAAGATTCAAGACTTCAATAAACACCTGAAATCTACTGCATTGACATATTCTCACATCACTTGCTTTACAAGAGCTATCATCTTTCAAGTCTAATAGAGTGTCACCCATTTGATTTATTTTATCTGCTATGTTACATTGCATTAGGCAGCAGACGAAGCCTAACATGATCCAATTTACTGTGCCATGGCACGCTAGACAAAAAGTATTTATTATTGTCATTATTCTTAGGTTGTCCACATTTAGAAGGTGGCTAAATGATTTGCTTAATTGGGGAAGCATGGTGGCACTACCACCTTGGCTATCATAATCACCAACATACACAGGCTTCCTGTGTATAGCAGAGCAATCTAAGCTTAGCCATGCTTGCCATGAGGGAAAGTGTTAAGACAATACTTATTTTTGATATTTTCTTCACTACCTCAACAAAGTAAGTCATCCTGAGACTTAAAGATGGAAAAGGGAACACAGGATTTGTCACCTTTGCTTTTTTTTTTCCCCACCCTCTGTATGATCCCAGAAATGTCTGAGCATCTGGAAGAGGGAAGTTAGGAAAATGGTCATGGTATTTATGTCTGACATTTGAAGGGCCCTTTTCCTCTCAGGTGGACACTGGAGCTAAGACCTTATGGCTGGAGAACTGTAGATATGATGAAAAGCAAGATGGCAAAATTTGAGCTCTGAAGAGGAACAGACATTACTGTTGGGGTCTATACAATTCTTTTGATTTTATGTATATGATGAACCTTTATGCCCATGGAATAGTTTGGCTCTGCAGTCTAATGGGGGAAATAACCTGTAGCTATATGGACACTTCAATAACCTGCCTTCATATATACACCCTGGATGCCTTCTAAGGCAAGCCCCACCCATTTTAAGAGCACTTTTGGATCCTGTTTCTGAAATGCGTCCCAATTTAACCAAATCAGATGCTTTTAACTTAAATTTTCTGCACATGTAAGTAGGGTGTTCCAAGAAATGCTGGTGTATTTCACTGTCCTGTACTCCAGTCATTAGTTAGATTCAACTATTTAAACTACTTTCTTTCCCTCCAAAATGAAAAGATTGGCTTACAATTAAGAAGCAAACATTTGGAGCACTTTTGTTTGTCACATGATGGTGAGTTATCTATTCAGTGTCACATTTCCATATTTTGGTCTTGTCTGTAACTAGAACCAATGAAAACATGAAAACTGAGTTAATAAGCCAATTCTAGAAGACAGAGCTTAAAGAAATTCACAGGCTTTATGGGAAAACCGGGATTCAAGGCTGCTCTTACACGTCTGATAATGTTTTGCATACTGCCAGTGTGTTTCCCTTTGTGGCATCCACTTGTCTCTTCTCTTGTAATAGGATGTGAGCCCTTGGGACAGGAACTTGTTCTGACTTCATTTCATACATGTGAGAAATGACCCTATCCACAGTAAATAAACAAGAACACCACCACTAGCACATTTTTAAAAGCTCCATTGTTCCAATGTCATTTTTGGATACTCTTATTTTGGTTCAAGTACACGTACTATTCAGCAAGCTGAACTTTTAAAGAACTTTTGTGTACGACCATGAAGGTATAGACGCATTCTTACTGATGTGGATCCATATCCACAAAGGTACAGAATATCCAACTTCTATTAGAGTACTAGTTTCTGTTGTTTTCAAAGGGAAAATACACGACAAAATAGGGCTTATACACTTAGGTATATATTTCTGAACGTGAACCTCCTATTAGGTGCATGCAGAATTTTATAGATTCCAACCATCACCTTGAAGGCATGCAGAGCTGACTAGGTGGGCAACTTTGTTCTCCACTACCTGAAGAGGGCAGCTGTAACTCCCCTTCAACAGCAGCAGCTGCTAGTGGTCTCATAGATACTTCATTTTTCACTTTAAAGGAGAAAATTAACATAAATCCATTGACTTCCACAAAACTGTTAGCTAAGTGAAGATCATTGGTGCTGAAAAACTATTTAGAAGGATAATTATTCCAGTGGGGAAAAGTCAGAAGAAAATAAGAGCTGGGCCGTTAGGCTGAGACTGCAAATGCTTGGGTGCAGAAGGCACTGATAGAAGCAGAAATCATTTTTTTGAGCTTTTGAGGTTTTCAGAATTTTCCTTTAACCACCCCCATTCTTTGCATGTTCAGTAGCACCCACCCAGCTGCTGCTGTGATGAAAAATGGCTCAATCAGAGTTTCTGCATGTTACAATGCAAGTGTCACTTCTTAGAGCAGTGACTGTGAATGGCAGACAGGCAAGCCACATAGGAACTATGACATATTCTGGTTCCTGGACTGATACACTACTCAAAATATTTTCCAGACGTTCTTTCAATTCAAAAAATCTTAAACTTTCATAGCTGATATTGATCTATCTTGTTACTTTCCAATGTATGCTGTGGCTGTGCTCAGAAGAGCAATGTGCCGCCCTGTCCTGTATCCTGATGGATATCATACAGGCACTAAAGAGGCTGCAGCATGACTGACACACCTAAAAACTCTTGATCTAAATGGAGAAGCTCAGGGAAGGCTCATAGCCTGACTTACAGCAAATGTAACAAGTAGTAAAGATGAAACCATTATCAACCATCTCAAGTCTCATAATGAAAGCAATAGGCATGGAGATGACATGTAACTTCAAATCTCTGTTCTGTTTCCTACTTTCAACCAGGGTAATTGTTAGTTTTTCCACAGGAGGAACTTATCTCTTTGTCTTCATTACACTCACCAGAAGGATGAGGATGTAACACAGCAGCAGTAATACTGAAATGTTGATAGACAGATACAGAGAGAAAGAGAGAGGAAGGAAGGGAACGAGGGAGGGAGTGAGGGAGGAACGAAGGAAGGAAGAAAGAAACAAAAGGAAAAAAGAGTGCGAAAGAGCAAGGAAGAGAAGGGGAGAGAGAGAGGAAAGGAGTCTTGTAGGTAAAGGTCTCTTCTGCAAGTGAGTTTTCAAGTTTTTAAGGTTTATTTCATGGTTTGTGTCAGTTATGGATTTTTAGATATGTCTTAGCTATATTTGTAAGAAAAGGTAAAAGAAGATTGGTTGCCAATTGCCACCTGAATCCATATTACCTAAAGATCAGTTATAACTGGAGCAGTAAGAATAACAATACTAATTCTGAAACAGAGAACTGTAGGAAAGGCTCTCTTCCAGCTCTCTCATAGCTTACATCTGTAAGCCACGCTTTCAGATGAATTAACAAATGCTACAGAAACCTCAGTTATACCTGCAGATCTAACACACAGGGTAAAAGTGGTACCTGGAAGGCAGGCACTGATGAGGCACTTCTACCACTGCTGCTTAGACGCTGTATGTAAAATTCTCATTCTCTATAAGAGGACTAGAGCAAAGCACGTTTATGATTTTAAGACTTCTATGTTTCCTAGAGTATAACAGAAAGGTCAATTCAATTAAAAATTGATAAAATAATAAGTTTTAGGTAACGTGTATCTTAGAACACACTCCCACAGAATTACAATGTGAAGATTTGAGTCCAAACTGTATGATTTCTGCATTTACTTAAATAATTTCTGAAATCATGCAGAATTATGCTTAACTACAATACAAGGTTCACCAAGCTTCAGAGTTT